TTCACAGATTTCGAAAGAAGAAAGCTTCACGCATGCGTGTTCAAAATTTCTGACGTATTGGAGCTAAAATAAAAACAGAAGAGCGATTTGAAAACCACCTATTTTTTAGTCACTAAATTTCGATTGCAATCGAAAATGGGAATTCTCGGTTTGAGGTCAATTTCGACTACAGTCGAAGACGGTATCTAGAGGGTTAAGTATATATCGTATTATTAAACACTCATAACTCAGTGACCTCAACTAACCTTCAGTACTCTGTGTGACATCTCAAGATGTTTGCGTTTGTGTTCAGCGATCTTGGCTTGCAGCGTAGACTGCTGGTGTTGAAGTGTGCTAATGTCTTTTGCTACCAGCTGTGGATTCAAACATTAGATGCAAAATCAAAATATATATGAGCTCAAAATCATCACTAAAGCTTATTCAAAATGTACATCCTATATCTTACACTAGCATTTCTACTAGGGCAAAGGGGAGGTGCAAGCCTCTAGAATCCTGCAACCCCAGGCGACCCCTGAGCAAATGAGGCATGTCGTGGCGAAATGGCTAAGCTGTCGCACAGGCCAGTGTTGAGTAAATGAGCATTAAAATATGGGAGCTCAAAAAATTGCCTATTTATGAAAAACCTCAAAAGAATCAACTTACATCTAGACGTCCTTGGTGGTTCTTGGTCTGTTGGTTCTGTTTTTCTAAGCGAAGACGAAGCACATCAAATCCAACCATTGGTACTGGAATGAGTCTAAAGAAAACAAAGATAAATATATAAATCTAAATTGCATTATTTATAGCATAATTCTAATTTAATATCTCAAAAACTTAATTACTATAAAACTATTAAAAAAAATGTAATTAATTTAATTTCAATTGTATTCAAAACTATGGAATAATCTCTCCACGATTTCTCACAGAATGTTTAAAAATGCTTCTGACTAGATTTTTAAACCAAACTGTGAAAACACATAATTATATAATGTTAACTCAATTTAATTTGTTTGATAATCTTATTTAGTGTTATGTGGATGTAACAAATTCATTATTAATTAATAATCAGTTAGAACATTTTCTAATAATAATTATGACTGACTGACTGACTGATTGATTGACTGGTTGTAGCCCCATACTTTGGTTTAGGTGCTAGCTTGGTGTATTTTTTTTTTTTTTTTCAATTATTTATATAATAAAGCCAAATATTTAGAACATCATTAATACAACAGCTTATTATTATTATTATTTGTTTTCTCTTTTTATTATTATTATTATTATTATTATTAATTATTAATTATTATTATTATTATTATTATTATTTATTATTATTTTGATTTATAATAATGTCATAAAAATAGGGTAGTATAGTGCTACTCACTTCTCTGGATCAGGGTTGTCCAACTTAGCTTGACTCCATAATCTAGGATCATACCCTAAGCATATAAAATGTATTGTTAATTATAGTAATTATAAGCAAAACTAGACTTGTACAAAAAAAAATTGGTAGGTCTAGATGAAAGTAGGAGTAAAGCATAATGCTGAAAAACAGTACATATGAAATAATAACAAATGGAAAAAAAAAATTAAATGAAATATATATATATATATATATATATATATTTCATTTCCATCCATCAGCAAGGGCCTATTTACACTATGACGATAACGATCAACGATAAAATGCTAAAAAGCAATTGTTCATATATTGATTGTTATCGTCATAGTGTAAACAGGCCTTAACTCGCCATATTATAGAATTACAATGCTTTGTAAAGCAAAACTCATAAGGCTTAGGGAGTGCAGTTGTTTTTAGTCATAAGAAAGTCCTGATGTCAGGGGTATTGGACCTAGGATTCTGGAAGTAGAAAGCAAGCATAAGGCAAGACCTTCTTTATAGTGCAACCTCCGACCGCCAAAAATGGCGATTTTGAATAAAAATAACATTTTTTTTTGCCTGTTAGCGCACACTTGGCCACGAAGTATATGAAATTTCATAAAAAAATAAAATTTTATACCTATTTTTATTACACCCTCCGCAGCTGAAATCTCCAAAAATAAATTATATATTACTTCTTCCTATTTTACGTAAATTTAAAGTATTTATCCATCTTATACACTGTTTAATTCATTAATAAAACTCCTCCACCTATATGGTTTCAGCAAAATCATTTTGCTAAATGAGAAAACAACATTTTTATTTTGTTTTTTTTCTGCCCCTTCTGACCTTCTTAAAAAATATAAGTCCACGAAACAAGGTATAAAAAAGAAATCTTGCCCAAACACTAATAGCTATACTACTCCAATTCAGCTGGCAAATTATAAACTTACCCATAGGAGGTGATGCAAGGTACTGGTTAAGGTCTTCTTCCGAGAGTCGGGTGAAGGGTACTAGGTTTACAACTCCTAGTTGGGTAAGCTGTGTCTTTGGTGTCCCTCCGCTAAAGTAACTAAACAAATCTGAAGCCTTGATACGCTGAGATTTACCTGCTGGAGTGCGCTGCTGCACATAAATTGTGACCTCAGTTCTACAGGAAAAAAAGAGGTTAAAGGTTATGTGTGTACACCATGCAAAATACAATGAACAGATGTAATTAGAAATACCACAAAAAGGAGAACTCCAAGCCAGCGTTTGAATCCTAGTATGGGGATACGTCCTCGTCGCTAAGCAGGGATGTGCAGTATAACGATAGATTTTTTGTTTTTTAATTATCAGGACAAAAAATAATTGTGTTGACTAAGTACAGTAACATTTAAAAATCAGTGTCAGATAGTAAAACATTTTCCGGTATAAAATTAATGGTAAACATTGTTAAGCTACTATAATACCCATGCTCAAGCTGATATATTTCACTTGAAAATTATATAATTAATTTCAAAATTCATCTTTAAGATTTTTTTTAGAGTATAATATACAAACTAAGTATGTAATTGGCAATGAGAGAAACACTATTATATGTCCATATTCATGATGTTCCTATATATGGTCATGATGTATGTCATAATGACCATATCTGTCAACAACCAAGTGTAACCTACTTGTCGTTTGGAAGACCTTTGACATCTTCAACGCAGACAGACAAATCTGTCTTGTTGCCAAGTATGCGGAACAGGTTGTCGACAAGCTGCTGCTGCTGCGCCTTGACTTCATTCTCCTTCTTGTTGAAGTGAAGACGAACTAAACCGTCCTGATCGCGTGCTTGTGGCTTCATGCTATATCCTACAGTCTGTAAAAAAAACCCATTAATTCATATTATAACACATTACCGTTCCATCCATTTCGCTATATTGCACAGCGTCTATGGATACGATATGACTTCAACCTAATACAATCTTTTGATTCGATACGAAGCCAGAGAGGTGAACAGGGCTCCGGGGAATAGAGCCGAAATATCCTAAATAGTGCAGTAGGTGAGTAGTAAAATTTGTTTATACCACTACCACTGACACTAAATCTATAATGTTAAGAGGGTCGGAATGGCTAAAAATAAACAGTATAAAACAAAATCTTTTGATTACTTAAAAAGATGCTGGACTGTTCCATTTAGAAAAAGGATACTTTTTTTTTCATAAATATCAAAATGGCATGGATTTTTAAGTGTATTATTTATAAAACAAATAATGTTTTTTTTAATTTTTATGAGTGCAATGGAAAGAATATTTTATATGAGTTGAATGGAACAGTCAATCTTTCAACTCATGAAATATTCTTCTCATTGCACTCATAAAAAAACATCCATTATTTGTATGCTCATCAAAATATTTCGTTATTAAGCTCTGTCTACACTATAAAACAAACTGGTTTATGCCTACATATGGCCATGATGTGATGTCATCATGACTATATTTCAGCATGTCACATGGTTTTGTCTGAACATAGCTTTAGTGTAATGCTTTTCTGTGACAAGGCGAGTAGTACATATGCCATATAGTGTGGGTTGCCCATATATGGTATGGGCATCATTATGTCATATGTCTACATCCATAATTGGCAAATCATATGACAGACTATACACATGGTATTCTAAATTATTCACAACTTTTTTTTTTGGTTTATTAATTATATTTTTACATGTTAAAAATATTACACAAATTATATTACACAAATTTTACAGGATAAAAATATGGATTATGTTCACTTCTGTTCTTTTACTAAAAAAATATTCTGTATAAGAATGGAGACATACAATACAAGAAATAAATATGAATGACTTAACAGACCAAAAATGATTAACCGGATCACCCGGATGTGGCTTCTTCTTAATTCACTTTATTGCAATCGTATAACAGATTGGATAATACAAAATATTCAGAGAACGAAATAAAACACAAAAAGGTACAATAAAAGAAAGACAGTCATAAAAAAACAACAAAACAAAACAATCGCTTAAAAAAAAAAGATTATCATTATCATTTATATTACTCTATATACAAATATTATCTGTTATCCATTATTAGTATTTACAAAAAATTTATAAAAATCCTAATTACAATTAGTAGAAAATTCTAAATTTCAAAAATTCATTCATATTAATTGATATTTATTTTTATATACAAAAATTTATACAAAAATAATTATTTAAAAAAAATTTTTTTTTTTTACTTTTAATATTAAATAGAAGCAACTTCATAATACAGTATTAAAAAATTCTATTTATTAATTGTTATCAGTTTTGGTTACAAAAATAAATAAGTTGGGACCAGTGGCAGATCTAGAGTTTAAAATAGAGGGGGCCCAGGCAGGAACTGTCACAGATGGAGGATCTATACTGCCTGGCACGGATGCAGGAGGGAGGTGCAGATGGTGTAATCGCACCCCTCCCTCCTCTCCTTAAATTGTATTAAGAAAAATAACCTGTATTGTTGATATATTATTTTTATCATTAGAAACATATTGTACAGGCAAGATTTTAAAAGTATGAGAGTGCAATTTTCAGGGCACCTTGAGGTCTATATTCTCAAATCATTACGGCACCACTGAATGGCCAGAAATGGCACTCTCAGGCTTAAATTTCAATGAAATTACTCATTTTTATTCATTACTTTTTTTTTTTTATAATTTTAAAAATTGTAGGAGGAGGTGGACCAGCTGAGCTCCCCTTTGAATCCACCAGTGGGGACCCCTGTAAACTATGGCACACCTTAAATCTGCAGAATGGATTCTCCGGTTTGAAATCTACAACACCGCTCTGACTGTAGCAGCCTTTGCCGGTACCCCAGGAGGCTTGCAACTGATTCCACTTGGCAAGAATCACATCACGCTCATCCCCAAAGATCACAGGCATAGAGAGGGCGGTAGCAATGTTTAGAAGGCTGCCTTGAATTCCAAAACCTGTAAAAAAATATTAAATGGACAGGCAGGTTCTGGAGGAAAATATTTTCTTTTATACGTTGTACAACTGACTGTAGCTGTCCACACTATCAAATTTTCTTTGACAAACAACTGTCGTATGCCCAAATATAGTCATGATATGTCTGTATATGGTCATGATGTGATGTCATCATGACCATATTTAGACACGTCACAGGTTTTTGTCAAATAAAATGTGATAGTCTAGATAGGGCTTAAGACACATAAAGGGTATTTGACAAACAACTCAGGAATGGTTAATGGTTAATGAGATACAGATTTTTAAATATTTGAAAAGTGGGGAGGGGGGAAAGAGGTGTAACCATGCTTCCCCTTTCCCTTTCCTTACCCAGATTTTTAAAAATATACAAATCTGTATCTCAAATGTTCCCACTTTTTTCATCACACAACCTTTTTTTTGTCTTCGAAAAATGACTTGTACAATATATCAAAATTTGCTTTCTACAGAGCTGGCTTTAACATTTATATAGGTAACCCATAATTAGAAATAGTTAATGTTGACCTGGAGCCTACCTTGTTGCTGTTGCTGCTGCTGTTGTTGCTGGCCAAGCCCACCACTACCCAAACCAAATCCTAAAAAACACCAACAGAATAGCATTAAAGCAGTATCTACTTTGCTACTGTAATAACATTATAATTGAATATCTAGAATGCTTATGAAATTGGAAAGAAAAGACAGGAATACTATCAGAATTTGTCAGATTTAGGCAAGAATTTTTTATACACTGTTTCGTGAACTTATCTTTCTAAAGGACGTCAAAGGAGGGCAGAAAAAAAAAATATGATTTTGTTTTCTAATTTAGAAAATGGGTTTTGCCAAAAACATCCAGGCGGAAGAGAAAATAAAAATGAAATTTTATTAGTAAATGTTAAGACTAAAATAATGGGATGGTTAAATGCTTTAAATTTATATAACTAGGAAGAAATACTGTACGCATATCTTATTTTTGGAGATTGCAAAGCAGCAGCAGCCATAATAAAAATAAAAAAACTTTTACTTTTTTCTGGAATTTCTTGTCTTTTTATGGAGGCGGTTGCAGTAATTAATAGGCCAAAAATAAAATTTTATTTTTATTCAAAATCATCACAATTGGGTTCGCTAAACAAGATATAAAATAAAGTCTCGCCTTTACAGTTTTGTTTGTTTTTTTTTTTCTCTGATTGGTCAACATCATCATATACAACAGGTCACGCTGGAAGAAGGGTCATATCGGGTAGCTTGAACATGGCAAGCTAGCTGGCTTCAAATACTTCGACTTGAGCAGGCTTTTACTTAGGCCCAAGCTCAAGCACCATAGTTCAAATTTAGAAACACTCAAACAACCCCTGGAGTAAATCCTGGTGTGACATGATTTGAACCCAGGACCCTGTGATTGGAAGGCAAGCATCTTACCACCAAGAAACAGGTACACCATATCAATAACAACACCATGACTCACCTGAACTAGTGCCTCCCAAATTAAATCCTCCAGTCAACTGTGTCGGTTTGTTGCCAAAGGAAAAGGAGGATGTGGTTGTTGTTGGGGCCGAACCAAAATTAAATGATGATGCAGTAGTCTTGGCGCCAAATGAGCCAAACCCTGAAAAATTGAATACTGAGCATATAACTGTCATTCATTACTAATCCATATTATTAATCCACATTGAATTCATTTTGATCAAGACAAAGGGTAATCCACATAATTGGATTAATCCACATTGGATTAATACACATCATTGGATTAATCCACATTAGATTGATCAATCCACATTAGATTGATCAATCCACATTAGATTGATGTACACTGGATTAAACAACACTGGACTAATCCACATTGGATTGAGCCACATTGGATTGAGCCACATTGGATTAATCCACATAGGATTAATTCAAATTGGACTGATCTACATTGGATTAACAAACATTGGATTTAATCTACATTGGATTAATCCACAATTTCAAAGTTTGAAATTCAATCTGTATACAAAACACACCAGACAGATAAGAGTATTCATTTGTATAAGAATAAAAAGGGGGGGAGAGGGGACAATAGCAAAAAAATGCTATGAACGGAGATGAGGGGCTCTACTGTACAAACCCAGTCATCTCTATGACCAGCATTTCCTGGTGTATCTTTTATGACTAACACAACACTAGCACTGTCAAGTATCACACAAGTATCAGAGAGCATCCAGACTGGATATGAAACATCGTTGAATGGTATTCCAAATGACAAGTGGGTTAAGTTTTAAAGTTGCAGTCATGTCTTGTATCTACCTGTTCCTGTACCACCAAAATTGAAACTACTACCAGTGCTTGCAGCTGGGGCAGGGTTACTTCCAAAACTGAAGCCACTGGTCCCTGTTCCACCTGTGTTTAAGCCTCCAAAGCCGGCAGAGGCTGCTGTGGTGGTAGCACCAAGCTTGAAGCCAGTGCCACCAGCTGTGCTGGTGCTTGATGGGGCGCTGCTTCCAAAGCTAAAGCCAGCTGTTGTCTTTGCTGTACTTCCAAAGTTGAATCCTCCTGTATAAAAAATTAGGTAGGAATCAGCTGCCTCTGATCTGTAATTAAAGTTTTATGCATAGCATAGGGCCCTAGTCCTCTACTACTACTAGGTCCAGGCTGTGAAAGATTAATATGAATGCAGGATTGTTACCCAATCAATAATATAACACTGTGGCTAGAATAAAGTACCGTATGTTAACTTCGATTTGCTAAAGGTAGGTAAATTGCATTATCCAAAAAAAAAAATTCCGCCACTAGCGCGATGACATCGTTAAAAAACCACTCGCTGTGAGCCTGCTTTTCACGCCGAGTTGTATAAAAAAGCGACATAGACAACGTCAAACTCATGGAGCATCCGTATAAGAAGCCTATAATTGAGCAACTCGCCAAAAGAGGAATATACTGGTAAAAACGATTTTGATGCACACACCATGTTTTCTCCAAATTGAATAAGGTTTACTGTAAGGCCTGGACAGCGGTCTCAGGTAGACTATTCCAATCGTTTACAACTCTGATTGATTAGAATTTTCACCTAACATCAACATTGGGTCTCAATTGAATGAATTTGAAAGAATGGCCTCTCATTCTGGAGGCAACATCAAAGATAAAAAATTTGTTTTTATCAAGTACATTACAGCCTTTGTAGTCTTTGTTCATAAGACAAATCCATAAGTTCATGGCTCTTTTTTGCATCCTTTCAATATGATCACCATCGCTTAAACAGTTAGGCACCCAGACAGGTAACCCATACTCAAGCCAAGGACAGATTAGTGATTTATTTATATTTAATACCATGAAACTGGACGCGTCGAGAGCAAGCAAGTCAAATCATCAAAGAACATGTTACTGTTGTATAATTGTGAAGTTTTAAATAATTTGGTAACCATTAATTAATTAGATATTACTTAGCGCCTGGGGGGGGGGGGGCCTAGGACTCTAGATTAGTAGTTAACATCCGTCCTGTAACTCCCAATGTTATTTGCCTATTCCCTAGCGTCCACTAATTTTTCTATTAGTGGACGCTTGGCTTTTTTTTTAGGTTCGTGTGCAAAAAAGATTCCTCATTTTTTTCGTCACCGCGAATACATCGTGCACCGCGATAAAAATTGAATTGAATTCAAATTTAATATTAAGTATGAACAATTAAGGAATTCATTGAATCAATGGACCCCCGTAAACACAACAAACTGAATGTTTAATAGGAATATTCTAGACCTATTTTAAAGACTCAAGGAACAAGTTTAGATGTAGGCCTACGGCCAGGCATGTCTGCATGCACCGACCAAAAAGGACGTCAGTGACTGTATTCTCTCTCGAATGCTGAAATGTTTATTTCTTTGACGAAAGTCTATCAAAATAGCATTACAAACAAGTAGGTATTGCTGATGTGTAGTTAATTAAACACGTATTGCAGGAGCAAAAATCAGCATACGCACAGCTAAATGTAAATACGTACACGCATACTGATCATATCACTAGTAACAACCGATGACTGCTACAACAGTTGGTTATAAAAAACTAAAATTAAAAGACAGCCACTGACTTATAAAGCAATTAGTAGAACATGCATTGTACACTAAATGGAAAATTATTATACTATAGGTTAGATTTAATGCATTCAAAAATTCCTTCAGGCCTTGCAGGCCCTCAGGAAATTTTTTCAAGCATTAAATCTGACCTAAGTATAATAATTTTCCTAGTGTACTATGCGGTGCTCTACCAATTTCTTAGGCTACGGGAATGAAAGTTGTAGGTTTGTGTCCACCGCCCGCATGCCTAAAAAGCTACCGCACAAAAATTTTCATTATTTTGAAAAGTTCATTATTTTGCAAAAAAATATACTTCGTTTTAAAAAACGGACTTTCTAAGTCATAAACAGACAGAAAAACGATCTATTCATCACTGATCACTTGTCGCGAACACCGAGCGAAGGCAGGCCTGGCCACATCGCACCATGATCGCCGATGATCACTGCTGAGGTCATTTACGGGTCAAATCGATCTTTCTGACCGATAGGAAATCTTGTATGTTTAATTTCCACAATGTGTGCTCTGAAGCGTTCATTTGCATTTCACAGCAAGCGCGAGTAATCTTTACTTTCTATTCAATACGTTCTTTGATCTCTATTTACATACGAACGAGTGGAATAGTTTTCTCTATCAAACTACAGGTATATAATTCCAGCATTGAGGCTAACCAGCACTTTTAAAGAGGTCTTAAATGTAGAAAAGGATCTGTTTTATAGGCTAGTGTACATTTATGACTGTAAGCATTGTTTCTTGGGAATAAATGTAAAATTACCAATGCCGCAGCTTGTGGACAGCATTTATAAAAAAAATAATGAATAATGAAAAAATGCCTCATGTGTTTTCAAAATTTTTCGGACGCAAACCTACAACTTTCATTCTCGTGGCCTTACTATATTACTGTAGTATTACTGTACATATAGGTACTAAAGTAGTTTGCATAAATAGATAACTAGGGCCTACTGTAGTCAGTTACACAGAGGGAAGTTACAGGCATTGGATAAAAGAGTCAGCTAGGCCCCTGCCATGGGCCTAAAATAAAAGCTTGGCCTACCCTAGCTAGGCCTAGGCAGTAAAGTTAGTAGTTATAGATCCGCCGCGGGCATCCGGACAGAATATGCTGGAGCATGTTGTTAATAACAGGCCTAGCCTAGGCTAGAGTCGAACAATGACATCTAATATACGGTGTAAATATCATTTAAAAAAACATTGCACAGATACCTAACCTATCTAATTCTATTACCTGATGATGAACCAAATAAACTTGGCCCAGAGCTGGTAGTTTTCGCTCCAAATAAATTACTCGTTCCACTCGTACCGCCAAAGTTGAAAGCCATCTTGTTTGGATATATGCCAATGCCAGTAGTTTCCGCATGGTGGACGTGCGATCGACTCAAAAGATCAGCATTGTTATTGTTTTGTGACCAAAAGCACCACGGAATTCACACGGCAAACTATAGAAGGTAAGAGATTCCTTAGCAAAGTTTAGGTGAAGGTTATGACCCCTATCCCCTTGGCTACGGGGTTGCAGGTACCAGTCCCCGACCGAGTTTTCCCACAATTCACATTAATATTTTAGTTTAAAAGCACAATTTGAAGCATACTAAACCATAAACTCTCCCCGTGAACCCTACATACGAAGGATATATTTATTTCGGGACCTTGACCGAGGCTCAGTCGGCCCTTTGGTTAGGACTCCTCCGCCAGACAGGTCGGACCACTTGTTCGCAAACTGTCTGGAGCCACCTGGCTCAGGGTTCGGTTGATGTGAGCCTGTCGTGACGTGTAGGCCTACTTAAGAACCGATTGCTTTTCGCAGTTTTTTTTTTTTTTTATTGACCTAACAATTAAATCCCGGCCTCAGAGACTTTGCTTTTACGAACGTGCGCGTGTGTCATAATTTACTCAGAAGGTATATGCTTGGTGATATTTAATTGGAAATATTTTCATTTTTATGCCTAACGAGAAGTGGTAATTCCAGAAAAAGAGGAGGTTCGAAGCAAGTGGCCGACTTAGAACTATAGAGCCTCGGTCGGTGAGGCCTGTCCGACGGGGGGTGGGGGTGGGGGTCCCGCTGGCGCCACCACTGAGTTGAAGTGAGTGGAGGTATGGGCACAGGGCACTATGCAATTCCTTTTGAAGGATACCACGACATAAAAGGAACACGCGCAGTGGTGCGACACACACGTCATACTACTGTTACACATTGAATTGAATCATGAATTAGTCTAAATCCCAACCGTTGTGCCCCAAATGCTCAATTGTTCATTTTGAATTTGATAATGGAGGAAAATTCTATGATATGAATAACTAAAATATCGACACAATAATGAAGTGATACGGAATGGCAAAATCAGAAGTGATTCATTCTGCTATTATACTGGAGCACAGCACAAATTACTGCAGACCTACTTTTGGACCAATCACATTGTGTAAGGTGGCGCCCATATGACGGGTACTAATAAAACCAGGACATCACTCCAAATAGAGTTACCATTAGAACTTGTATCCTGAAACTATGAACACCTTTAATATTATATCGTCACTGTTGTAAATATGGAATACAGTGCCTTACCAAACGCTTAGTCTGCAGGGTGGGTCACCCGACAGAAAAATAAAAGGTAAGCCTATGTGATGTTACTATGAACCTATTAGAGTGTAAGTATGAGAATTTAGCAGCGATAGCTTCAACGGTTGTTCAAATTTCTTTCTATATGGTTGTTACGATTAGACACTATCAGTACAATAACATCGTAGATTTGTACAATGTTTAGAGCGGTCTGGGTGAATTTCGGCAAAGGTTGTACGCTAGTTTTCTTGACTCTGTACATTTGAGAAATTAAGTACCCCATCGTAATAAACAGTACATTTACATAATCGAGAGATGGAAATATTTTGTACCATATTTAGTACAGTATTTCACTGGAAACCATCGTTCATCAATTGTATACGACGCCGCAACCTCGGCGCAGGTTTATATAATAAAGCAGAAATGATTGAATGAAAGCACCTGCTACTGTTGCGGGTGCATTGTCATTAACGAACCAAGTGCATCTTTCCAAGAATAGGGGATTACAGGGCCGTATCCATGATTTGCCATTTGGGTGTGCAGGCTCTGCAAGAAATGGGACAACGGGGTCTGGGGGTCGCCTTGAGTCTATGGCCAGGTTAAGGGGGAATAGCTATTAGTTAGAAGGATTGAAGCTTAGATATTAATTTGTAAGAAGTTACGAAGCCTTTACTGATTTTAGACTCGTAATCTGTAAAAAGTACGTATAGGCCTATTATGGTCATATACTAGAAAATAAAAAATTCCCGAGTGTCTTAAAAATGTGGACCGTTTCCGAATTGAGAATACGGGTCTAGATTACCGAGAGGCGACGTGTCGAGAGCGTAAGTTGTGCCCCTTTTCTTCATAAAAAAAACAAAAAAAAAATGATATCCAATGATATCCACTCCCCAGCGGCACTGAGGTCGGGGGTATTTACATGGGAGTGGGGGGGGGGGGAGGAGGGGTGAG